CTTTTCTTTGACATGCCCCTTTTTCTTGCAATGTTCACAGAATGAGCCTCTCCTTTCATCAAACTGGTAAGCGCTCTTGTTAGCTGAAACAAGTTCCCCCTTTCCTCCAAATAAGCCAAGTGATCCTTGCTCCTTTTGGATTTGAGAACACACTTCTTCAAGGGTTGGCAACCGTTCTGCTCTAAGGAGATGCTTGATGAGGTCACTGTAAGTTGAGCTGAGGATCATGAGCAATCCAAAGACTTTGTCTTGCTCTCTTCTGTCGTTCAGGACTTGAGGGTCAACTGTGCTTGGCCTTAGCATCTCCAGTTCTGCCCATAGTGCTCTGAACTTTCCAAAGTGTTTGGTAAACTCCATATCTTCTTGCCTTAGCTCATTGATAGCCTTCTTGACTTCAAATACACGGCTGAGATTAGAGATGTTGTCGAATACTTGCTTCAGGGTCTCCCATAGCTCTTTGGCGGTTTCACAGTATGAGTAAGCCTCCAAGATTTCATTGCTAAGGGAGCTTTGTAGTAGAGCAAGGACGGTCTGATCTTCCTTGTACCATTGGGTCTCTTCGGCTGGGACAATGGCGGCTCCGGCGGCTGGTGGTGCTGCTAGAGGAGCATCGCTTGACACATGACTCCAAAGACCTCTTCCACACAAGGCGGTTCTTGTGGTTCTTGACCATAGCAAGTAGTTAACCCCTTTAAGGGTAACTGGTAAAGCCAATGGCTTGTTGTTCTCCATGGCCATGATTTGAGTTTATGGACCAATGGGCAAAGCTATGGACTGGTGGGTAAAGGTTTTGTGAATGGTTTATGAGTGAAATGGTGAGTAAGCGAATGAGAGTATGGTGGATTGAGAGTGTTTTAGGTGGTTTAGAGGGTTTAGGAGTGATTTAAAATGTAAAGGAGATGATTAACGGCTATGGACCGTTGGGTAAAGATTTGAGAATTTTCTGGAGTTTAAAACGAGAGATGAGATAGAGAAGAGAGGGATGAGAATCAAAAGGTTGTAGTCCAAAGATCTACAAACCGCTCTGATACCATGTTAGAATTTGCGGAATAATAACTTAGAGAAATGAAGAATAGATGAAGAACATGAAAGAGAATGAGAGAATGAATTAAGGATGATTATATTTCCTTAAGTTAACCATTACAAATGATATCAATTGCCTATGTATAGACCATACAAAGAGTTCTAACGGCTAAGAGAGACAATGACACAAATAATAAACAAAGGGGATGTAGTCCTCAAAGTGAAAGCGACCCTTTATGAAAGCCTCCAACGTTCACAAGCTTAACAAGAACATGTGACCTTATCTTCTTTGCTTCCTTGTGCTTGTGACCGTTGTTATACTTGACTAAGGTCAATTATATGACCGTTGCTTCTTTGTTCACCACTCTTGCTTCCTTTGTGTGATCTTCTTCCTTGAGCTTCACGGTTGTGACATGTACGGACACTTCTCTAACTTGATCATTTTGACAACCCTAACCTGCAGACAAAGGTATAGACAAATCACTTCAATAGAATATACAGGGATATGTCTACCACAACTAATACTAAAAAGTCTACCAAATATATAAGTCTATCAGTAATACTTAAAAAACCACCACGACGTACATAGGTCTAATAGATCATATAATCTAAATCAACTCTACCATCAATTAAAATCAAATCTACCATAAGTGAATTTTATATGTACTATCATAAGCACAATTATCATAATATTTCTACCATAACTAAGGCTATAACTCTACCAAAATACAAAAAAATGTAAGGAAACATACCTTCTTGTCTTCGGTTGTACTTCTTTCTTCCTCCAAAACTTTCTCAAGAATGTATCTGTCCCTACTCGAACGCCACCGAAGTAGAGGACATGGTAAAATAAACGGATTGTTCTTAAGTTTGCCAAATTTTTCTCTCAATATTGGAACCGACTCATAAACCCCACATAAGCAATGGAAGTTCTTAGGAAGAGCCGTATGAGGCAGCTCACGTCAACAAATCCACTGGGAAGCGGAAAAGCAGGGGGAACCGGGGAAGGAGCTACACCACCAACCTCTTTCTGCCGGGGTTCCCGGTACTACCAAAAAGTCTCATGCTTACATTACTGTTATTGATGGTTTTATTATTTTGGACTACGAAGACCTCGGTCGTGCCCCTTTCTTGCTCGTTAGCGCCCCCTTCCCCTCATTAACGCACACATCCAAGGAAGGTGTAGCTATTTCCACCTAAAGATGCAACTTTTATAGACAAAATCATCTCCTTAAAACCGACCCGCCCCCATGGATAACTCTCAAAAGCTTCGTCATCCATAACTCTCTTCGCACAGTCCAAAGGAAGTCGACTATTCCGATTAATACCAAATATCCCAAGATGCAGTATGAACAGCAACGCAAGCATCTTCTTCTGCTGATACGACCAAGTTTTCATCTTCCAAATACCTCAACCAGCTCATGCCAATTTGGCCCTACCCCTGCATTCACGCCAAGCTCTCCCCAGAACTTGTTGTGATCTATGTCCCACGGCTCGTCCCCAATGGGCTGACAGTTCAGCCCGATTATATCTTCAAACTCGTGGAGCAAAAACCGCACTGGACGCCCATCGATAAGCGCTAGTTGATTTGTTACCATGTTATGGACTGTTTTTGCGGTCCATATGTACGTCTTCTCTGCAAGACTCAATACCACTCCTACTTGAAAATTGTTCTGTATGTCATTGTAGACATCCTCGCCAACAGCCTCCTTCAACATCCCAAAATCTGTCAAATGGCAGTAGTTGTTCAAACTTTGCTTCTGAACAGGAGATTTCCCTGGGGGAAACAATCGAGGTAGGTAATTCCGCTCCTCCTCGCGTGAAGACGCCATCCACTGAGCTGCAAAAAATTACATATAAGTCATCCATTAAGTCTACCACCAAACGAAAGCAAACAACTATACCAATAAATCTAACTTATCAAGTCTACCACCAAAACTAAAGTAAGTCATCCATTAAGTCTACCACTAACACGCGACAACCATCAAATCTATCAACAAGTCTACCAAGACAACTTATCAAGTTTACCACCACAAAATAGTTATGACTTTAAGTCTACCACCAACATGCGACAACCATCAACTCCACAAACAAATCTACCAAGACAACTTATCAAGTCTACCACCACAAAAATAGTTATACATTAAGTCTACCACAAAGTGCCTCAATCATCAAGTCCACCAACAAGAGCATCAAAAGTCTAACTTAACAAGTCTACCACAACAAATCATCAAGTCTACCACCAAAAACCATTAAGACTTACCATCTATCAATTCTACCACAATTTAAACAAATCTTCCGTCAAACTAAACCATCCATAAAAGAACAAGCCACAGGTCAGGTTACCTTTCTCTATCCTGACCGGATTCCGCTTGTATCCCCACCGGATTCCGCTTTTATCCTCACCGGATTCCGCCCTTATCCTCACCGAATTTCTACTAAATACAATGAAGTAGTGCGGTTAGACAATTAAAAGTCTACCATCACATCAGCGATTATTTCATAACAAATCTACCATATGGCACCTAGGTTTTACCCCAATAATTCACTGAAAATGGAAACATTTTCATCCGGTTACCTGTTCGCGGTTCAAGGCTTAATAATCACCGGATTCTGTCGTCGTAGTCGTCGTTGTACTGCAAATAAATAAAAATCCACGGTTCACGGTCACCATTAATCCAAAACTTTTTTAATCCGAAACCAGTTGAATCGAAGATGAAACCAGTTGAATCAAAGATGAAACCAGTTTGAATCGAGTTTAATCGTGAATCCACTACTCCGATAACACCCTAGATCTACAAAAAAATGACTTGAATCGAAGATGAAACCACTTGCTCGAAACGAAAAAGCTGCCGCCGCTATTGAGACGCCGCCGTCGTCAATAACTATATGCCCACACACGAAAGAATCGCTCGTTGCAGCAAAGCGAAATTCCGCCACTCCAGAATCGCCCGTCGCAGAAGAGCGATCTAGGGTTTCCGTGGCGGCGAATTTATTTTTTTGTTTGAACAAATGAATTTTTTTTCTTTCTTATTACAATTTTAATCTATATTTCTTTTAATATTATTTTTTTATCCAGAATTACTGAATTTATTTTATTTTTATTTTTATTACTGAATAATCATTTTATTCCTAGTATGATAAATTTGTTATTCCATAGATGTTTTGTCCCAAATGGTATTTTACAAATTTATTAACTTTATTCTGGTTAGAGTCACTTGGCATGGAGTTAATCTAGTAAATACCATATTTATTAAAGTTATTTAGGTAATAAACTCTTTTAATTTTTAAGTAATGCTCTGTGTAACTCTTAACTTTATAAACAGTTTTGTTCTTAGTAATATTAACAGATAATCGACTACTGTTTGTGTCCAAATATTATTCCACCAACATCTTCAACAATATATCACTGGCACTCACACAAGAAGAATCAATCTTCAACTTTATCACAAACCTTTTGTTGGAACTTATTTTTGACAAATGGCTCAGACCAATTTTCCGACCATATTTCTGGTATGTACAGTTACCGAAATGACCGGATTATGGATTCTTTGGATTCATTGCAATGAGCACTATAAGATAATGTATCTACTTGTCAAAAAAGAAGTTGATTTGAATGTGAAATCTTTGGTTAAAGTGGAAATGTAATCAAGAAAAAAAAATCAACAAATGTCAAGATGTGCATTTTGTCCCACATTGAAAGTTAGAAGAATTTTCCACTAGTATATATTACACTCTCAACAAGGTTCCATGACAGTCTTTTTTTTTCTTTCTCCATATCTCAACTCCGTGTATCGTCTTTCCTTAAAATTTTATTAAAACGTTTTATACTTTAATTATCATTTATTATTATTAATTTAAATTATTTTTAGATTCGTGATTTTCAATCTTATTTACAGTCCTACACCTCTGACTAAATTATTATGAATATATAGATAGTAAAGGAATCGAACTATTAAGTCCCATCAAATGATCATAAAAAATGTCAAATCATCCAAAGTCGAAAGCTAAAAATAGATTTAGATATCTACGTACAGATGAAAACAAAATCTAATAAGCATTTGTTCCTCTCTTACCACTATGACGTTGCTTTTATTATCTGCCATTTCCAGCAGTCTAATTGCAAACTTTTGCAACATAAAGGCATCAAAAGGGTAGTCTAAAGGAGTTCATAAGCGTTCTTAACGGTTTCACCCAATTCGGTAGTTGGATGAGCGAAGACAAGCTCTGCACCAAATGATCTCATCGTCATTGTCCTTTCTGAAAAAGAATGAACAATCAAAATGGACAGTTTCGACTTATGATTTCCTAGGATTAGTTAAACCTGGGTTCTTTAATTTGAGAACTTAGATTTTACAATAACCTGTCTTTGATGCTCCAAGTGTGGCTGGAAATGTTGTTGCTTGACTGCAATATAAGCTTCACATTATTCATTAACTTGGTTGAGAAACACAAGAGGAGGTCTTCAGATGAGCTAGGACAAACGAATTTGATCAATCGACATCAGAAAAAGAAGAAGAAACAAAGGCAATGTAATTACTAAGATCGAAATTGAAGTTGCCAAGAAAAGAATTTCTTTCGTTAGTCATAGATGAATCGTATTTGAATGAAAATATGATCTCAAACCTTGGATGTAACGCTTCATACGTTTACTTCGAAGATGCGGTTGTTAGACGTAGGAGAGAAGGGGAAGAGAAGCACAGTCCTGGAAAGAATTATTAAGCGTGGATATTTTCGTTTTTCAGCAGCAAAGGTATCGGAAGCGTGGCAAGATAAAACTGATGAACAGGATGGACTGAAACGTTATTTAAAGTTTGTTTTCTAATCATTAAAATGACACATGTCTTTTCTCTTAAATGACAAGATTTTTCACTTAAAACTGAAAATATAAAACTGTTTTCTGTATTTTGATTTATCACCGGCCACCATTATAGTAAGAAAATAAAAACTAGATCTAAATAATATTTAGATGTGATTTTGAGCAATATAAATAGTTTTGAAAAGATACAAGTTAAAACTGTGATGATAAAACGTAATTATTTATAATAAAAATATACTACTTTTCAGTTATAATGAAAATATGCAAATAAATACAATATAGTTTATTAATTGTTTACCATCTATAAATACTCTCAAATGATTTTTTCCTGTGATTTTGAATAATATAAATAGTTTTGTAAAAATACAAATTACAGTTAAATAATGTTACCGAAATAATATATGGACTACTTGACTTCTCCGAACCTAGTGAAATGAGCATCGGTTTTAGTTCTCCCAAATCGTAAATTCGTTTACGAATCATCATACAAATCTAATATTTTTGTGAAATTCATGTGATTGTTATTTTCATCTCCATTGTCTTAAACATTCAGAGACTGAAGAAGATTCTAATGGTGGTGAACAAGTAAAATGTGTAATTACCGAAATAAGAAGAACCACACATCCGAAGAGAAAAAAAAGAAGTACACGTTTTGAGAAAGTTAAACTCAGATGCAACCATTATAGTAAGATAATAAAAGTTAAATCCAAAAAATGTTTTTAGTGGTTTGGAGCAATATAAATAATTTTAAAAAGACATAAATTACAGTTGTGATGAAAAAACGTAACTATTTATAATAAAAAGATGTAACTACAAATTTTGAAAATATACAATTTTTCAAAGTGTTATAGACATTTTTTTCAGATCTCTTACCTATTAATTGACAATGTAGTTTAATGAATTATGCTTACTTGTTTTAATTTTATTGGTTAAAAACATCAAAATAACCTAATTAAATGTGACATAGAAATGATGATGTGTAATGATGATGTAATTGTGATTTTGCATATATAAACACATGTGGATTATGACATGGCAAAAAATATTTTTGTGTTTAATTTATTTTAGTTCAAATAATTATTTTATGAAAACAGAAAAACAGAAAATATTTAATTATTAATATAAATTGGAATAAGAAAAGCAACAACCTTCCAATAAAGAAAATAGATAGAGTAATAAACAAAATAAAAGTGAAGATAAAGCTTTATAGAGAATAATTAACGTGTGTTACCTCTTGTGATATAATTATTTAATGTTTGTAATAATAAAAAGATGAAGCATCATCAGTATGTTACTATTAACACATTAGAGAAAGTTATAGTTACTTTTTTTATACAAACCTGAGCTATGATCAGTTTACCAAAAAGAAAATCTTGTAGACTATGATCGAGAAGAAACAGAAAAATGGAAACATTGACCAAACTATTTAACAAACTCTCCCATAGGTTCTTATGTCTTCTACTATTATATACTGAAATGATCAAATTTCCGGTTTATACTGAAATGATCATACTGGAATCAACATCAGTTTCTTGAATATATTGGCCGAAATTTTGAGTGTTGTGGAATATAAAAGTACTATTTAATGATTCTTCCAAATCATGATATGAGAGTTGTAAAAAGGCTACAGTAAAAAGTTTATATTTTATACACTAGAAAGTTAAACTACATCGAAAGAAAAATATTTTTATTATTTGTAATAGAAATTTAATTATTTTAATTCATCACATTGTGTATACGCCTATAAATCTCCATCATTATAGTTTTCATAAAAGTAACCAATCTATTTCTTATATAATTTCATACCACACAAAATATTTTTACCCATCAAGCTTTAATAACCCCACACATATGGGAAGGCATAAAAACTTTAATAAAAATTAATTAATAATGATATATGTAATTTAGAATAAATAAGTGATTGACTTATTCAGTAATATATTTGTAAAAAGTCTGGGTTTGTGAAAAATATGACTTAATAGGTTTGAAAAATTGTATATAGCAAAAATAAAAAAAAATATACACAAAACTTAAAATACTTTTATCTCTTACCTATTAATTGACAATGTAGTTTAATTAATTATGCTTACTTTTTTTAATTTCATTGGTTAAAAACATCAATCTAACTTAATTAAATGTGACATGAAAATGATGATGAGTAATGATGATGTAATTGTGATTTTGCATATAAAAACACATGTGGATTATAACATGGCAAAAAATATTTCTGTGTTTAATTTATTTTAGTTCAAATAATTATTTTATGAAAACAGAAAAACAGAAAATATTTAATTATTAATATAAATTGGAATAAGAAAAGCAACAACCTTCCGATAAAGAAAATAGATAGAGTAATAAACAAAATAAAAGTGAAGATAAAGCTTTATAGAGAATAATTAACGTGCGTTACCTCTTGTGATATAATTATTTAATGTTTGTAATAATAAAAAGATGAAGCATCATCAGTATGTTACTATTAACACATTGGAGAAAGTAATAGTTACTTTTTTTATACAAACCTGAGCTATGATCAGTTTACCAAAAAGAAAATCTTGTAGACTCTATGATCGAGAAGAAACAGAAAAATGGAAACATTGACCAAACTATTTAACAAACTCTCCCATAGGTTCTTATGTCTTCTACTATTATATACTGAAATGATCAAATTTCCGGTTTATACTGAAATGATCATACTGGAATCAACATCAGTTTCTTGAATATATTGGCCGAAATTTTGAGTGTTGTGGAATATAAAAGTACTAATTAATGATTCTTCCAAATCATGATATGAGAGTTGTAAAAAGGCTACAGTAAAAAGTTTATATTTTAGACACTAGAAAGTTAAACTACATCGAAAGAAAAATATTTTTATTATTTGTAATAGAAATTTAATTATTTCAATTCATCACATTGTGTATACGCCTATAAATCTCCATCATTATAGTTTTCATAAAAGTAACCAATCTATTTCTTATATAATTTCATACCACACAAATATATTTTTACCCATCAAGCTTTAATAACCCCACACATATGTGAAGGCATAAAAAAATTAATAAAAATTAATTAAAAATGATATATGTAATTTAGAATAAATAAGTGATTGACTTATTCAGTAATATATTTGTAAAAAGTTTGGGTTTGTGAAAAAAATGACTTAATAGGGTTGAGAAATTGTATATAGCAAAAATAAAAAAATATACACAAAACTTAAAATACTTTTATCTCTTACCTATTAATTGACAATGTAGTTTAATTAATTATGCTTACTTGTTTTAATTTCATTGGTTAAAAACATCAATCTAACTTAATTAAATGTGACATGGATATGATGATGTGTAATGATGATGTAATTGTGATTTTGCATATATAAACACATGTGGATTATGACATGGCAAAAAATATTTCTGTGTTTAATTTATTTTAGTTCAAATAATTATTTTATGAAAACAGAAAAACAGAAAATATTTAATTATTAATATAAATTGGAATAAGAAAAGCAACAACCTTCCGATAAAGAAAATAGATAGAGTAATAAACAAAATAAAAGTGAAGATAAAGCTTTATAGAGAATAATTAACGTGTGTTACCTCTTGTGATATGATTATTTAATGTTTGTAATAATGAAAAGATGAAGCATCATCAGTATGTTACTATTAACACATTGGAGAAAGTAATAGTTACTTTTTTTTATACAAACCTGAGCTATGATCAGTTTACCAAAAAGAAAATCTTGTAGACTCTATGATCGAGAAGAAACAGAAAAATGGAAACATTGACCAAACTATTTAACAAACTCTTCCATAGGTTCTTATGTCTTCTACTATTATATACTGAAATGATCAAATTTCCGGTTTATACTGAAATGATCATACTGGAATCAACATCAGTTTCTTGAATATATTGGCCGAAATTTTGAGTGTTGTGGAATATAAAAGTACTAATTAATGATTTTTCCAAATCATGATATGAGAGTTGTAAAAAGGTTACAGTAAAAAGTTTATATTTTATACACTAGAAAGTTAAACTACATCGAAAGAAAAATATTTTTATTATTTGTAATAGAAATTTAATTATTTTAATTCATCACATTGTGTATACGCCTATAAATCTCCATCATTATAGTTTTCATAAAAGTAACCAATCTATTTCTTATATAATTTCATACCACACAAAATATTTTTACCCATCAAGCTTTAATAACCCCACACATATGGGAAGGCATAAAAACTTTAATAAAAATTAATTAATAATGATATATGTAATTTAGAATAAATAAGTGATTGACTTATTCAGTAATATATTTGTAAAAAGTCTGGGTTTGTGAAAAATATGACTTAATAGGTTTGAGAAATTGTATATAGCAAAAATAAAAAAAAATATACACAAAACTTAAAATACTTTTATCTCTTACCTATTAATTGACAATGTAGTTTAATTAATTATGCTTACTTGTTTTAATTTCATTGGTTAAAAACATCAATCTAACTTAATTAAATGTGACATGGAAATGATGATGAGTAATGATGATGTAATTGTGATTTTGCATATATAAACACATGTGGATTATAACATGGCAAAAAATATTTCTGTGTTTAATTTATTTTAGTTCAAATAATTATTTTATGAAAACAGAAAAACAGAAAATATTTAATTATTAATATAAATTGGATTAAGAAAAGCAACAACCTTCCGATAAAGAAAATAGATAGAGTAATAAACAAAATAAAAGTGAAGATAAAGCTTTATAGAGAATAATTAACGTGTGTTACCTCTTGTGATATGATTATTTAATGTTTGTAATAATGAAAAGATGAAGCATCATCAGTATGTTACTATTAACACATTGGAGAAAGTAATAGTAACTTTTTTATACAAAGCTGA